TGAACTGATCTCCAGAGCAGCCACATGGTCTTTAAAGGACCACTATAGTGCCAGGAAAACATACTTGTTTTCCTGGCACTATAGGGTCTCTTAGGGTCCCCCTCCCGCCGGGCTCTAGGGTGAGGAAGGGGTTAAACACATACCTTTTCTCCACCGCCGGGCTCCCTCGGTGGTGGGGACTCTCCGCCTCCTTTCCCCGTCATCGGCTGAATGCGCATGTGCGGCACGAGCCGTGAGCGCATTCAGCCAGTCCACAGGAAAGCATTCTCAATGCTTTCCTATGGACGCTCGCGTCTTCTCACTGTGAAAATCACAGTGAGAATCGCGGAAGCGCCTCTAGCGGCTGTCAATGAGACAGCCACTAGAGGCTGGATTAACCCATAGGTAAACATAGCAGTTTCTCTGAAACTGTTATGTTTATAGCAGGCAGGGTTAATCCTAGAGGGACCTGGCAACCAGACCACTTCATTGAGCTGAAGTGGTCTGGGTGCCTATAGTGGTCCTTTAAAGAATACCTTTGTCACCAGTCAGCAGCAGACTATGAATTTGGTTGTGGAGTATTATTATGTAGCTTGGGTATTACCCATCATATTACTGCCATGGATATGGCCAGGAATATGGAATTATTATTAATACTTACCGTAATTTTTATTTCTCGGTAATAGGCCATGGCACTATTATGCTCCCTCCCTATCGTCACAGATATGATTATCACACAAAATGGGCATGTTTTTTTTGTTTTATCATAAAACCAGAAAGGAACATTTTTTTTTATAACATTGCAAGGTGTTAAATCAAGATAAGGAGGGGTGGATACAGGGTGTGGAAGTGCCAATTATTCAGTTGCATCACTAGTGATGTTCGAGGCCAGAAAGGGATAATGTCAATACAGAAATTGTGAGTCTTGTTGACGGGTGACCGTGCATGTTAACCATGCATTTCATTGTTTTGGATTATTTTCTTTTGTGTTCATCAGGTTGAAAATTGAGTCTGACCCACTAGATCTGGGATAAATATATCAGAAAGCAGTAAAATTATGTGTCCTTTGCAGAAAACAGCAGGAATTGCAGCTATACTAATTGTAATAATTATGAAATGCATAAAAATTATATTTAAGTCTTCTCTCATTTATTCCTTGTTAAGCATGGAATATGTGCAATACTAGGCATATAAAATGAGACATGCCCAACAAAAGTACACTTTAATAGTATGGTAAATATAAACTAAAGGAGTTCTTCACTAAAATTAAATGTAAGACGAATTCAAAGTAAATTTCAAATCTCAGGTCAAATAGCAGAACTGGAACCATTCTCTAAGTCAGCTATGCTTCAGTTTGGATCCCCTGACCTTATATTTAAATTCACTTTGAATTCTCAGGTGAATGAATAATCCTGTGGGTAGTTATGTCCCAAACTGTTCGCCGAACGGTTCGCGAACTGTTCGCCGAACGGTTCGTGAACGGTTCGCCCGGACTCATCATTGAGTAAACTTTGACCCTGTACCTCACAGTCAGCAGACACATTCCAGCCAATCAGTAGCAGACCCTCCCTCCCAGACCCTCCCACCTCCTGGACAGCATCCATTTTGAAGCTGCATTCTTAGTGAGCTGTCCAGGAGGTGGGAGGGTCTGGGAGGGAGGGTCTGCTGCTGATTGGCTGGAATGTGTCTGCTGACTGTGAGGTACAGGGTCAAAGTTTACTCAATGATGAGTCCGTGGCGAACCGTTCGTGGCGAACCGTTCGCGAACCGTTCACGAACCGTTCGGGACATCACTACATGTGGGTGTACCTATTCTGGTTCAATAATCTGATATTATTATAATTACAATTGCTGTTTGATTCACGATACAATGATCAGATATTTTCACGTTTTTTGGTGGTGAATCTGATATTTCACTGATTATGGGTTCTGCAGAGAATTCCATGGTTGAAAGTGACAGTCCTCTGATTATATGCCATCAATACTCTAGAGCAGGTGTTCCCAACCCAGTCCTCAAGTACCCCTAACAGTCCAGGATTTAGGGATTACCCAGTTGTGTCTAAGGGTAAAAGAAAAACACTTTAGACACAACTGTGTAATCTCTAAATCCTGGACTGGTGGGGGTACTTGAGGACTGGGTTGAGAACCCCTGCTGTGGTGATGATCGATAATGATCTCTTCTCTTAACTTTGTGGACCATTCTTTTGACTTAGCCATATTTCTAACATGCAGTCAAACATGACACTCAACATACCCCTAGCCAGTTCAGGTATTTCAAGTGTTCCAGATCAAGTACACCTGGTGCAACTAATGAAACCCTTGATAAGTTGCATTAGGTGTGCTTGAGATAATACATGTTTTGCATATTTGCCTGCATTCATGCCAGTTAGACATGGCTATTCTTCAGGAGGAACTGCTCCCATTGCGGGCATGCCTTTTGGCCAGTACCAGTGATACAGAGAGCTTCACTAACCCTGCCCCCTTTGAACCCTCCCACTGATGTTCCATTTTCCAACTATGCCTCCAGGGGAAACTGTTATTTAAACAAAAGCACACATGAACACAGGCAGGGCTATTTACTAAAGAGAAAATCCAAGGTAAATTCCATATTTAAAGCTACAACAGCTGCATTTTTCGAGTTCAGTTATTTTGAACTTAAATTTGTAATTCAGTTTAAATTCTCAATTTAGTAAATATGTCTATAACTGGTAGGTACATTATTTCTCCTGTACATGTCTACAGCTCCTTTTTTTGTTTCAATAATTGTTTATTTAAGTTTTCAGTTTTTACAAGTACAAACAGTACCAGACAATGCAGTAAACATTGAACAAAGAGACAACGTATAATGTTTATGTTGGTGCCCTAACAAGGTTGAGAAGAATAGCATAAAAGTATATGGATGTCTGTTAATGATATCACAGTGTTACTGTCAACGTGCCTAGCATGGTGAGCACAGATTACAATGTCAATCTAAACAGAAACAAACTATCAGGCTCAAAGCCTATCCTGCATGCATAACTAGATAGGGTGAGGTGAGGTTTTCCAAGTAACGGTGAGTCAAAATGAGGATCCATAAAAGACAGCATGTAGTGGCAATAGTTAATTAGTAAGAATACATAGTGTCGGAATATTCAAACTTATTATAAACATGATATGGTAAACAATCCTGGACTTCCTCAATAGCTCAGTACATGACAATCCAGAGGATACCACCAAAGTCTCATCAGCAAGACTATTGGCTCAGGATGACTATATATGGCCAACGTAGAGGCTATGTCAGCCATCACTGAAGCACTTTGCTAACCGAGTTACATAACAAACGTGGTGTTAACGTGCGCCTATTAAACAAACCAATCATATGGTAAAAATGTATGAAAAATAATACTCCAGCTTTAAATTTGGCTTGTCAGACTTCTACCAAATGCATTGATTTAATTGTATTCCTTTTTTTTCTATTTAGCTTCTTTTTTTTATTTTTAAATCTAACTGGCTTCCTAACGTTCCATTTTTTGATGCCACTATTAGGTAACCAAACCTAGTAATAGAGAAAAAAAATGGAGCAGTAATCCTGTAAGTTCAAATGCAACAAGATCATGTTCCCAATGCAATATGTGGGTTTAAGCTTCCACCCAAGAAGGAACAGCCAGCTTGCTCATTGAAAGACTGAATCCACGTCACCCAATCAAGAAAAAAAAATAACAAACCAATTACCATTAAAGAGAAAGAAAGCATTATAATCTCACACACATAGTGTTTTCTCTATTTTTTTAAAACTTCTTTGTTTTATTCTTAGGATACAAAATCATATGGACGTTTATAAAATGTATAAACACAGTATAAAATTGAACGCCCTATACAAGGTTCTAGTAAGTAAAGTAAAACTAATGCTCTTGGTGGAAAGGTCAAGAGACTCTCAACAAACACAATCTCTTGTAGGATTTAATCTGCCTGTTAAACAAGAAACACTGGTAAGGCAAGTCTGGGTGATCTCATAATTCTAGACACTTCATAAGAGTTAGACGATACTAGCTGATAACATTTGCTGAGAGCCATAAGCTGAAATATGTTTCACAAAGTATAAAATAACACAAATTAGTTTATTCACTAAACAGCAAATTGTGGTAAATTGGAAAGAATTCACCAAACATATCAAAACTGGGAATATAACTGGGTCGGAGAATGTTTGTACCGGAGCTATTTTGCCATAACTTAGTAACTTTGTTTTTTAATTCATCACTAATAGGTTCACTAAACTTTGAAAACCTGACAATTAAAGCAGCGGTCACTTTCTGGGGTCATTGCATATTTTGCAGAGACCTCCAGCGGTGACGTTGCCGCTTGGTTTGCGGTGGCCAGGGGGGGCGCAGTGAAGGTGAGATATACTTACCTGATGTTGCCATCTTCAGCTCTTGGCGATTTACCTGCCTGGAGCCCACATCAGTGGTGTATAGACTGCATATGACTTCATATTATTATTATTGGTATTTAAATAGCACAGTGGCTCCCCTCGGTCCTGCAAAGCCAGCAGGGGAGAGGAAGACACCGGGAAAAAATCTTGCGGCTCCCCTGTGTGCCCGTTGCGGCGCCCCAAGGTGCCGCGGCACACAGTTTGGGAACTGCTGATAAAGCGCCAACTAATTCCGCAGCGCTTTACAATATTATGAAAGGGG